GACATCAAAGCGATCCCACAATGATTTATTATGCGAATACATTTTCGGTTTTGATGTTAATTTTAGTTCGTAAACACGTACATCCAAGTTGTTGGAATTAGTACATTTCCGATCTCCTAAAATTTTTCGTGAAAGTTATTTTCACGTCTGCATTGAACAAATATTTTTGGGCCCCGTCATTATACGTGTAACAAGAAGACATCATAAAGAACTGTGAACCACGCAACACACGACTTAACAACTTCAAGTCGAATTTAATTTCACATATAAGCGAAAATACATTCCCACGTTTTAAAAAATAACCACAAAACCGCCTGAATAATCGTACCAAGTACTTCAATAACGAATATGTGCTGCCGCATAAAATATATATAAAGCAAAAGGATATATATCGAGGGGGTAGTTCAAAAACGTGTTAACTGGTAGGTGAGCCTAACGGGGGATGATTTATGACCTCTGCAAGGGACGGCTCGGGTAAAAACCCTTCGTAGCCGTCTGTTTCGATACACATCTAAAACTTGTTTTTATATCAAAAAATATTATTTCATCGCTTGTGTTTCTTGCTCGTGGTTGACGCAGCGTTTGGAATGTAATGGAGGCGAGGTTCTGTTTAAACTGTTGGTGGTTTAGTGTTGAATTTATCAGTCGATTGTAGTTTAGTTACGTCGTCATAAGGTGTCGTGATTCTTTTGGATTTTTTACAAAAGAGATTATTATTAAACTGTCAAACACCAAGCGGTCACCGGTGACCGCGACCTATTGTTCTTTAATTGTGTCTATAAAACCGGTACTCGACGAGTTAATTACTTAAAATACTTCATTTTTATTTGATACTGATATTACCTTATTCAACTCAAGTTATTATTCGTATCATCACTAAGCAGACTCACAAACAGGATCTTGCTTTGAGTGTCAGGTCAGAACCAGGTACGTATTCAATAATAAGCTCAATATCACTTCGAAAATTAGAAGTACTGTAGGCACTCATAAGAACTAGAACTTCAAGGAATGTTTGCCATGTAATTATTTTTAATGCTGCATAAAAGTCTTGAGTGCAGTAAAATAAGAGTATGCGTAAGGCATCGACATATTAAGGTATAACATCGATGGTTAAAAGTTATCACAGTAATACTTTTCATGTTTTAATTTCACTACTATCAATTTTTCTTGCCTCAATGAAACAAGTCGTTCCCAGAAAACAAGCAGCTAAATAACTGACCACTCAACGTAAAGGTCAGTCGATATTTCTGAACAAATTCGACATCGTTACTCCTGTATCATTACGCCACAACATAATCGATTGCTCTATTCGTTTCCTTCGACAACTTCATACTTTTATCTCTCTTACTTTTTAGAAGCAAATATTTACTATCTCGCTCTAACTTTAACTTTTTTCCACTAAACAAGTATCTAAGTCCCGCGATAATAAAAATGTTATGATCGCACAACTAAGTTTACGATTTATTTGTTAGAACGTTGATAGTTTGGAAAACCGAATATATTTTATTGTGTGTGGGTTGACAAATGTACAAGTTTTCAAGGATTTGTACCGGTTTTCGTTGCCCTACTTAAAAGTTAATAATTTATACCATGAAGAGAACATACTGTAGAAAGAGGGTCAAAATAACAAATGTATGTACTTCAATAACTGTTTTACTATAAGAATTAAAAGATCTGACTGCCTCGTTGACCGAGCGGTCGCAAGTGCGACTACCGGGCAAAGGAATCGGGTACGATTCCCTGGATGGGCAGAGTATAACTGGTTTTTTTTTTAATTCTCAGTAGTAGCACGGAGTCTGGAACTGTGCCCAGTATATGACAATAGGCTCACAGCCTATTACATGGGACTCATAACATAAATAGTGAAAAGTGGGTGTTACATTGTACAGTGGTATAACATGCACCTCTGCCTACCCCTTCGAGGATAAAAGGCGTGATGTTATGATGATGAATTAAAAGAAATGAATTTTATACATCGATTTATAAAAAATATTACATTACTAATTTGAGAAATACCATCAAATGAGACTCAAAGGTCACTTTTTAAATAGAAAAGTACTCGTAATACTTTAAATGGCAGAAATAATAATTAAGAAAGGTCACAGCAGTCCGAATGTAGGTGGACTGATAATAATTATACATTTTAATGAATATAATCTATTACATGCTTGGTATTTTATCAGCAAGACGGGAGATATTGCCAGTTATGAAATAAAATTAATGCGGGAGTAGAAACACAAAGCTACTAAACTAAGATTAACGGTCTATAAATCAATTTTCACCAATTCTATATTGCTTAATTCATCTATGAACGCATCATAGATTTACCTACATATTTTACATATGTAAATCTATGATGCGTTCACCGTAACATACATGTGTAGCTTTCTACATAAAATGTGCGTATAATTTTAGAGATTAGACTACAAATAAATAGGTATTGGAAAGTGAATATAGCTTCCCCTAAGTACGTAAAGTACGCCAAGTACTACTTTATTAATGAATACGGAATATAATCATTATTTCTGTGTATATTTTTATATAATCTAATTTTATTACTTATTTAATGTATTTTAGTCATGGCCGTCCCACTGCAGGGCAAAAGCCTCCCAACCCTCCTTCCACTCATCTCTTCTTATAGCTTATATAACCTAAATACTAAAAAAATCTATAAAGTATATAAATTATCGTACATTATATAAATGTTGTATAAAATGAAGGCAATATAATAAATAAAGCACAGCTTTCAGTTATCGTAATCGGTTTAATTTGAAGTCTCAAATGGGAATGTTAATTAAATCGGTTCCCAATACTATCGGGCATTATGCAAGCTCTAAAACCGGTATTTAACGATATAATTACGTAGTTATAGAAATAGCAGAGATTTAATAGATTATTCAGATAATGTACTATTAAAGTAATGATAATGGTTTGTCATTCATGTATAGAGCTTGATCTAATCGTGGTTTAGAAAAGTATTGAAAGGCAGTTTGAGTCAGTTAAAAGAAGATTATATCTTATCATGGGACCATTCTGGTAGTATCTCCTTTCCAACAAAAAAGTAATTATTAAAATCGGTTCATAAATAACGGAGATATCAGCGAAAAACATAAAATAGCATATATAAGGTCGAATTGAGAATGTCCTCCTTTATTTGATGTCGGTTAAAAATTCTAAATTTGCCAGAAGTCATTATTATTCGCGGACGAAGTCGCGGGGAACAGTTAGTTTTATATAAACGTTTGTTTTGTATTTTTGAAAAAATTATACAGACATAAAATTTGAGTGTCTGTTTGTAATATTGAAATAATCGCCTTTTACTACATGCATATGGAAATACATCCGATACAATATATACCGAAATAACACTTTTTACAAATTTTGTCATTCTGTTTGTTGGTTGTGGAGCGATTTTGACGAGAATTTTATTTGCAGGTAGGTAATATACTAAGGAGTAAGATATGCTACTTAATTAATTACTAATAAAGACACAGTCGATGTTGCGGGTTTAGCTAGAACATAATAATAATTTTACTTGAATTAATATTTATTGATTGCGACTGTTATAAAAAATTTTCGTAATCGTCACTATCTTCTTTCTACGTGCTTATGAGAATAGATACAATTGAATCACTTGTTTTAAATTGACAAACAAATGTTGGATAGACGTTTATACAACAATATTAACACAATCTAAACAACAAAACTATGTAACGAGAGAATTGTATTGTGAACCTGATTAAAAAAGAGTAACCTATGGAGTTTCTTGCTCGTTCTTATCTATAGGAATCTACGCCTTGGAATGAGCAAATAGCTTCACTTTTAATTTTTTTGCTGACGTTCAAAAGTGCCTTTCTGGTTTTGACTCTGACTTTGACTAACTATCACCTAACCAATTCACACTTTTAACACGTATACCAAAAATTATAGCCACACAAAAATCCCCATTACAAAAAAAATACTTTAAACTACACACACACATAACACAACTTCACGCCTTTTATCCCCGAAGGGGTAGACAGAGGTGCACATTTTGCCACTGTACAATGTAACACCCACTTTTCACTATTTATGTTATGAGTCCCATGTAATAGGGGGTGAGCCTATTGCCATATACCGGGCACAATTCCAGACTCCGTGCTACTACTAAGAATTTTTTAAAAACCCAGTAATACTTTGCCCGACCCGGGAATCGAACCCGAGACCCCTTGCCCGGCAGTCGCACTTGGGACCACTCGGCCAACGAGGCAGTCTTTAAACTCCAGGAAACAAAGTATAAAGTTTAACATCCTAACATTAATCACGGTGGAATTGACAGGCGACCGTCCGTTCGTCCGTTCGTTGAAAGAATGACATTCCCTTCTTGTCTTCAAGTTGACGTGGTAGTATCCCTTCCGGGGAGCCATTTGTCACCGTACTATGTGAGGGAAACGAGACATGTCCTGTTTGTGCCGTTTTGACTCCTATTGTGATACGTGTTTCTAAGATTGTGTTGTATGTTGTAAGATAGATAATGTGTGTATTTTTTAATGGCAGCGTTTAATACATTTATTTAGTGTGGGAGAGGCATGCTCGACCGGAGTGATACTACAGCCTCACTGAAAACCGACGTGAAACAACGCTTGCGTTGTGCTTCGCCGTGTGAGTGACGTTACCGGAGGCCCAATCACACCCCCTTCCCCTATTCCTCAATATTCTGATCCCCAATAGGCCGGTAACGCATATGTGGAACACCACCATGGCATGCCATAAAATATAAAATTCCTCGACTAAGGGACAATGTAAGCGAGACCGATCAGCAGCACTTTGATAAACCTAATACGTTTCAACTATCATGTCCAACCTATTTGCTAAGAGTGAAAATTGTGCTAAACTCCTTTTAATACTTAGAGGAGTTCTACCGTCTAGCTTTGGACTGTCATGAAGCAATCATTTACAAAAATGGGTATTGTTTAGATAAAATATAAATTTTGTAATCAAACATTTATAAAGAAACCCACCTGTTCTACCCACACGTTCGTTGTCATGATTTGATTCTTAAGATTCTGAAACAAAAGAGAATATAATATTAGTAATCAATCATAGGTCTAGTGGGACCATAGGTCTAGGGTACAATGTGAAGCTAACGATATAATCTATTATAAACCCATCAAAAATGTCCACTCCATAAATAGAGTGCAGTAAGTACACAAGGAGTATCTTGGCCCAATTATTCCCCCCTTTCCCTTAACTTCCTAATCCCTGAATCCCCAACAATATTCAAATTCATATTCCCCAAAAGCCGGTAACGCACTTGTAACGCCTCTGGTGTTCCGGGTGTCTATGGGCGATGCCGATTGCTTACCATTAGGTGATCCGGCGTACTTTCTATGTGACGATTACGATCACTTCATAAAGAGTGTGAAATTGAAAAAGAACATGATAAAGAGTACTAATTACATACTTTACGTAGATTAAAAAGTATAATAATTAGATTTCACTAATTTAAACCTGTCAAGTTATATGTACTTTCTAAGATTATTCAGACATCACTGACAAACGGTGAAGGAAAACATCGCGCGAGGAAACCTGGGCTTATAATTTCTAATTATAAGTTTGTAATCGCCACCCCGCATTGAGCGAGCGTGGTGATTATTGCTCAAACCTTGCCTGTGTGAGAAGACGCCTTTGGTCAGCAGTGGCCACTTATAGGCTGTTGATGCGATGACTATTTTAACAAGTACCCCTAAATACGACTTTATGAAAAGGTTCCATAAAACCGCTGAGGTGAAAATTAACTACTTAGACTGTGTAAACATAAACCTCTTTAAAATTATTACACTTGAATAGTTTGGTAAGAGGATCCCAACTTTCAACGAACTTTAATCTAATTTTGTTTACTCCGTTAATTACCTTTGACGACACCGCGGCCCAATAGGAAGTGACAAGGTGGAATGAGAAATTTTCTCGTATTAAAATTTTGGGTAAACTTTTGACGGATATTTTCGCTTGTATTATCTTTTCCAAGTTATATTATTGAGGTTAATATTGATACTTATAATGTTAAATATAAATATAGCTGTATAATTTTTTGCTGCTGTATAAATTGTTAATTATATATGCTTAATCCCCAAACGGTCGTCGGAGACCGCTCTTCACTGACACCGTTATAGACTTTATTTCCAGTTTATAGAGACTACTTTTGTATGAAAAAAAGTTTGGGTACGGTATATCAACGTATATATTAAAGTGGAGATAATGGTATTAGGAAATCAATGTGTCTCCGCCATTCGCTGAATGAATATAATAACATAATAAAATATCTGTTATACTTAGTACCAATAATTTAAAACATAATTATCAATATTTGCGTATAGAATTAATCAAATACATTTACAATACGTCTAAAATCCTTACCATGTAAACCAGCCGGTTTTACAAAATGAAACCAGGGTTAAGTAAACGTAGATTAGTAAACTAGGTCGGCATGATCTACACTACGTCTCGTTGTAAGTAAGATGCAGATTAAAATATCATCTCAGATTAGTTCGGAGTTTGTATAACCTCTTACTGTCTTGGGGAGAATGTTCTTATAGAGTTTTTGATGTAGGAGTAAAATTGAGATATTATAGGCAAACTAAAAATTACGAGTTACTCACGTAAACATACTGAAAAAAGCTCTACTAGTTTTGCAACGATCGCGCACGCTGCTCATGAGGAAGAGTCCCTCAGTGACTCGAAACTAATAGAACTTTTCTCTTCAGCATGTCTCGCGATAGTTATTTTAAAATGATTATAGAAATATATAAGATAATTTGTATTATCTTTTTTTATTTTCAAAGGGCTAAGCTATAGAGGCATATACAATGTTGCTCCTATCTTATACCAGTTGCATTATAAGCCACATGTTAAATAGAAAAATAGTCAATCTCGATAAAAAAGGCAGTAAAAAAAGAAACAAATATCTACTTAATCCTTCAGCTGTTATTTGACTTATAATTACTTTGACTATAATCAGCCTTTTCAACTTCACGTTGCCGTCAAAATGATAAATTAATTTGAAAACCGAGCTCAATATCATCATAGTATTTGCCGCAAAATGCTTAGCAGACACATACTTCTCTCAAGTTGGTAAGTACGTACATAGTTCACTAAACTTATCAATAAGATGAAGTTTGTATACATAAATCGAGTTTACATATTAATAACGTATTATTAGGGAACTTTGAACAATTTGTAAGTATGTTGTAGCACTTTTTGTTCGAAGAGGTACCTGAGATGATTCGGAGAAGTTTTTATTTTAAAACAATTTCGATTTATTTATTGTTTTAAATTATTTGGAGCCAGATTTTCATATCAGATAAGCACCAGCTTTAGTGTCTGAAAGTTTTCATGCTTGAAGTATATTGTCAACCCGAGTATTGTATCAACTACTACCTACTTATGATTATATTATCATTCTCAACAACCTTAGTATCAGTAATTCTGATCGGTGTAAATGTATAATCGATTCCTATAGAGTATCTGTCTTGCTTGGACCTTATACCGTAAAATTAGGACTTATTAAAAAGATACAGGATTACCGAACTTATTTCTAAATTAATAGAGTACCTAATCTTTTACAGGGACGAGAAATATCTTTAAACCATACATAAAATGGTCCCAGAAAGACAACACAGTATATGTAAATTAGGTATGGAATCGAGAAAGTTCCACCATATTATATTCCGCCTTCGTAGTATGTGTAAATGCAAATTCATCAGACACTGAGCCAACTCACCTAACTTGAAGATATGCATGCAAGGCGGGAATTAATTGAACTTGTAACAGCCAACATTGCTGATGAATAAATCTTTTGGCAAGCAAAAAGATTTTGTGTAGATATTGTAACAAAGATATGTCATTTAATTTTGAGCAAAATTCCGACACATGTGTTACTATGTGACAAGTGCTCAACTGAAGCATGCTTTCGTGCTTGGAATTAGCATTTGTAACAGTACCTTTATATTTATTATACAAAGCTGGAGAGTTTGTTACAGAACTACTGGGCCGAATTTAATAATGGGGTAGATGCCTAATTTTTATTTTAATGTCCGTCTGGTAGATTATTTCAATCATTAGAGGTAGACACGTATTTTTTATTTTCTTACAGAAACGAATACTTTCGACGATATATTGATTTGAAATGTCGCGGGACGTCACTTCTATTACATTTAATACGTAGAAATGACGTTTTAGGGCCCACTCCTAAACTTTGATTCGTTTTATCTAAGCATTGTTTTATTATACGACAAAATAAAAAAATATGTGTCTAATATTTTTTCATTACCTAACTTACGGGCTAATTATATTTTTAATTTTCATACCTTGTCAGCAATCCTATTGTTTTTGTGTTGGGTAGTCCATTTATTGAGGAAGGATGGAGATTATAAAACAATCAATAGGAGCTGAGCAGAGCGGGTAAAACCGCGCAGGAGTTTTATTATAAGTCGACATTTAGTTATTAAACATAGCTTAGCTTACCACAATATGTATCATCATCATACGATTAAACAAAGAAGTTAGATAGACAGAAAAATATTAAAAACTAAGAAAGTATTATAAAAAAATAAAATTTATGATAGAAATCATAAATAGGAATAGTAAAGTAAGAAATAATATAAAACTAAAAAATAGTAACCTAGTTACTCCAACAATGGCACAGTGATTAAACTCAGATTATAATTAACAGTTTCACCATTAACTCATTATTATCACAAAGCTAAACCTTAACCAAATCCAGTTTAAAAAATGAAGTGTAATTTTTTCACAGCACACGAGTGTGACGGAAAATTTTGATGTCAAGTTGAACTTGTTTAATACGATAATACCGAGTTTAAAGTACACTTAACTGTGCACTAACAATAACCGAACAAAGTTAGACGTCCGTTGCACCTGGATTTCCATTATTTGTGCTGTGCAGTGCATTGTTCTCATACATTTACTTTTTTGTGGATTAAATAATCCTGGTTTGATATTTATAAATGTGGAAATTTGTGAGGCTGTGTGGATTTATAGATACTAAATAGATCTCAATAATATTTCGCATCAGGATAGATAGAACGGATTTAGCCGTAACTTTAGGCGTCGAAAACACAGATTGTTTGAATTTGATTTCAAATATTATTTTTACGTAATTAAATGAATATCAGTTCAACATTCCTTAAAAATGATAAGATGTTTTCACTTGCCGTCTAATCAGCAATTGCTAAAATGAAGTTTCAAACAATACTTTTCAAATTCAAAATCGTTCGTTCCATTTCATGGAAAATTTCAAGGGTGGTACTTGCGAAGTGTGCTTACTCTTTACATTATTCAGGTACAGTGTGAAACACAGGTTCTACACCAAGTTTCATTGTTCGGTGCACTTCGGAAACTTTCGGATTCCTTTTAAATTTAATTACCCGGTTGTTGGGCATCAGATAAAATTGCATTCCTTTCAGTTCCACCGTTCGGGTTCGACTGAGGAATCCGAATTATTTTTGCTCATTTGTTCGTGTGTTCCTTGTATAGGTTGGGTGTGATTTTCTCGTTTTTCCTCTATATTTTTTGTTATTTTGTTACATTTACGAATGTTTTGTATGTAGTTTCTGATTTTACGAGGTTGGTTTTGATTAAACGTTTATTTTGAAATCTACAGTCATATTCGCCGAAATGATAGTCGATCACTGATCGTCATATTATCATAATCGTAAAAACAACCGGACAATTGCTATAATAATCCAGTGATCGATGCAACGGCTGTAGATTATTAGTACGAATTATTCTAATTAAAATTATGATAACGTAGGTAGGTAGAATTAGAAATTTGGCGATGATACATGCTTTGAAAAACCGAACCGTTTATTTAATTAACTTTATTTGGTTGACCAAGTATAAGTTTGACACATAAAAACTCCTACTACTCGAAATTAAGGAAAATAGACAAAATATCCTTCCTATTAGAGTATATACTTGCTTGGATGACTTGGATGCAGTATTCATATAAATCACTGAAATAGCTGAACTCCAAACAGACACATGAATA